TGGGCCTTGTGGTAGGCATCTGTAGTCCCAGCTATTTGGGAGGCTGAGGCAGGAGTATCACTTAAGCCCAAGAGTTTGAGGTTGCTGTGAGCTATGACACCACAGCACTTTACCGAGGGCAATAAAGTGAGACTCTGTCTCGAAAAAAATAAGTTTATTGGCTGGGTGCAGTGGCTCATACCTGTAAATCTAGCACCCTGGGAGGCTGAGGTGGGTGAATTGCCTGAGCTCAGGAGTTTGAGACCAGCCTGAGCAAAGCGAGATGCTGTCTCTAAAAATAGCCAGGCACTGTGGTGGGCACCTGTTGTCCCAGCTACTCTGGAGGCTGAGGCAAGAGGATCCTTTGAGCCCAAGAATTTGAGGTTGCTGTGTCCTAATGCCACAGCACTCTACTGGGGTGACAAAGTAAGACTCTGTCTCACAAAAAAAAGAAAAAAAAGACAAACAACGGAAAAAAAGAAATTCCTTTGGCAGGTTGATGTAGCAAAAGTGGCATGCTGGACCACGTGTCAAGACAGGTATGTTAGAAGTATAGCTCTTCCATGAGCCTTTTTTTTTAAAATTTACACAAATATGTGCCATTGCGTTGTCTTCTATGAGCTTTTTGTGTAATCTTGGGGAACATACATCTTATTCAGGGTCTGGTCTACCCCACTTCGCCCCTAGAGGTATCCCAGGAGATCACAGAAGGGTGAGTCTGAACAGCTGAGTCCCCCCTCTCACTCTGGTTTTGTATCCTGAGGTTTTGTGCATATATAGGTCACTGTATCAATTAAGCACCACAGGCATTGGGCCCAGCGCCTCCCTGCTTTCAAGGGCCTACAGACATATTTGGGAGCTGAAAAAAATTATCGACTCCAAAATATGAAAATTAAACAGAATTCAAATGGAGCTGGAGGTTGCTGTGAGCTATGACGCCAAAGTACTCTACTGAGGGTGACAAAGTGAGACTGACTCTAAAAAAAAAAAAATTTGAAATTATGTATGGTAAAGTGTCCGTAGAAAAATCTGCATAAATTTTACAAAGATCTTTAAAAGGTTATAAGATTTCACTTGAAAAATAATGTTCTGGCTTGGCGCCAATGGTTCAAATGGCTAAGGCGCCAGCCATATACACCTGAGCTGGGGGATTCAAATCCAGCCCGGCCTGCCAAGCAACAATGACGGCTGCAACCAAAAAATAGCTGGGGGCGTTGTGGCAGGTGCCTGTAGTCCCAGCTACTTGGAAGGTGGAGGCAGGAGAATCGCTTGAGCCCAGAAGTTGGAGGTTGCTGTGAGTTGTAATGCCACAGCACTCTACCCAGGGCAACAGCTTGAGGCTCTGTCTCAAAAAAAAAAAGAAAGGAAAAAAAAGAAAAAGAATGTTTGTGGCTCAGTGCCTGTAGCCCAGTGAGTAGCGCACCGGCCACATACACCGAAGCTAGCAGGCTCAAAGGAGTAGGGCACGGCTCAGCGCCTGCGGCTCAAGCGGCTAAGGCACCAGCCACATACACCTAAGGTGGTGGGTTCAAATCCCCAGCCCGG